TCTCTCCAGTCTCCTCCACTTACTAATACCATTCTTCTAAGATTACCTCCAATTTACTTTGTCCAGATCTTGTATGTAAACAGTTGGCTCCTCCATTAGAATGTGAACTCCCTGATGGCAGGAACTGTTTTTGCCTTTATTTGTATCCCCAGCACAGTGTCTGGAACATTTAGTTGCTCAATTGTTTCTGATTCTTCCTGACTCTGTGGACCATGTCATGCCAATACTGGCCATGGGGTTTTCCTGCCATTTCCATTTTCCAGTGGATTAATGCAAACAGAGGTTAGCTTTGCCCTGGGTCACATGACCAGAAAGTGTCTGAGGCTGGATTTTAACTCAGGTCTTCCTGACTCTAGGCCCAGCACTCTATCCACTGAACCACCTAGCTGCCTCTACTAGCTGCCTATGTCTGGTACACAGTAATCACTTAATAAATGCTGGTTGACCAATTTGATTAAACAGAGAAGGATATAGTTACGCTTCTTGAAACCTTATCTGATACCCTCAAATTCAACAGGCAACGCTGCTGCCGGCCCTCCCATCACCATCACCTTCTCACACGCAAGAATCACAGAATTTTCAAGCTTCAAGGGAATTCCTCACTTTACAATTGAGGAAATTGTGATCTCATCAGGTCAAGTGCCTTGCCTGAATTATTCCCTACCATTTGGCATTCCCAACAGAAACAGCAGATGATGCCAGGAGCAGTCACATCCCTGCCTGGCTTGCAGACTTTACTATGAGATTGTCCTTCATTAGTTTAATTATATAATGAGTAGACATGTAAATATTGATAAGGAAATTAAATAAGTACCTTTCCAAAGGTATTTTTAAGCAATTCCTCTTCAATCTGGTAACCACAAATAAATTACTAAATGCATAAAAAGTATTCAGCATAAACACAGGTATTTTCACAAGGGAAATAGTAAAACAAGACATAAATATATCCCCATACCATTTGTAGTTGAATACAAAAAAAAATTTTTTTTTAATTGTCTTTCCGTCTTACCTTCACTGCTCTGATCACAAACTTCACTGGGACCCCTAATGGCAAAGTATGAATGAATTTGCCAGAGATTCAAGGCCTTCTAGAGTCCAGTGTCACCTAACTTCACAGAGTCCTTTTAGCTTATTTCCTCCCCCTATACTCTGCTCCCCCCAATTTGGACCCCTTTCTGCCACAATATCCCTGCTCTGGCGGTCCCTATCTCTAGCTTCCATGCCCTCACTGTTTTTTTATTACATGCTATAGAGCTTATGTCTAATCCTCCTATTAGGCTGTGATTCCATATATCTTCCTCACTTTCTGGCACACTGCTCTGCAAACAACAGGTCCTTAAGATACTGAACAGCTTTCTTTCCCTCCTTTTTATTCTTTATTATGGGAGAGGGGAGGGAGAATTGATATATTAGACAATAAAGGCAGTGTGAAAACAGAAAAGATATCTGTAGTTTAAAAAAAAATTAAAATAGGATAGCATATGATAAAATGTGAATTGTGCAAAAGAAGTCAGAGAAGACAGAAGATGGTATTTTGGGAATGCCAGGGTTTGAGCCTCTAACATAAACAAGTCACTTACTGTGAGCCTCACTTTGCTCATCTTTAAAGCAGAAATAACTGTATCTAAAACACCTACCTCACAGGGCTATTATAAGGATGAAATGAAATCATACATACAGACTTTAAGCTTTTTTCCCTCTACTAGGAGGGCTATAAAACTCCAGCACCAATGCAAATGGACAACTCCTCAACTTAAAGTTTCAGAGAGTTGTTTGGGTGGGGCAGGAGCAATTAAATGACTCGTTCAAGGTCATACAGGTCATATGTGTCAGAAGCTGGCCCTATTTCCAATATCACACACCATCTCTCGAACATCGGCTAACAGCATTAAAAACATAATGTGCAACGGAAAGTTGAGGAAAGGTTCCCAAAAGATGGGACTGAAGCTGGACTGTGAAGGAAGGTGAGGTAGCTGCAAACTTTGCAAGAAGAACATGAGCAAAGGCAACAGTGTTCAGATTTCAAACAAACAGAAAAATTCTATGTAGACTACACTGCAGAGCCAAAAGAAAACACTACTGCCCTTCAGGTTTACTGCAAACACTTCTGAAAGGTTCACTTGCACATACTTTCAAATAAAAAATTCAAATTTGCCAGAACATAGAACCATTTTTCCATGGGTGAATAAAAGTAACTACTTGCATCAGACTTGTTACATTTTCAGTTTGTAGAGGGTGATAAATCCATTTGCATTCCTATATGACAGGGGTGTAAGGCTTAAGGGGAACAGAAATTTGTCAGCGTGTGAAGTTATATAGCAATAAACCTTATTTGTGGAAGGTGGAGTTGACTAATTAGATAAGGCATGAAACACTCCCATTACATACACTGATTTCTACTGTGGTCCAAGTTCAATTCCTCCCAACACACATTAACAGACTTGGTTTACAGAATTCCAGTCTCACCATTAAGAAACACCTGTGATTACTTCATGGTCAGTTAAGAACAGATAAATTTAACTATAAACTTAGGAACATCACTTACCACTATTAAAGTAACATTTGTTCTGTATTAAGGTATCAAAGATGAACATAATTAGACTGCCAGAAGCTAAATAATAGAGCAGTTCACCCAACCTAGTCTGCCAACATTATTGTAAAATAATTCCCTTTTAAATCTATACACTTATAAATGTTCCCAGGGATTATTATGTTCAGGGAGTATAAAATAAATAAAAACCATAGCTAAATGAAACATTTGTGCACACTTCTTTTTATTCTGGATATCAAACTGCTTCCCCATACTACAAGGCCATTTTGCTTCACTTTCCATTATATATCGAAATAGAATATCTGAAAAAGGAAAATGCACTGCAATTAAATCTAGCAAAAAATGACGTGTTGTCTCAACCTGTGAATGTGTACAGGATCACTCTAAACAAGGAAAACACAGTTTTACCAAAAAAAGACAGTAGATTTTTCTTAATTTCTCTGAGACTAGACACAATATGATCCTGCCAATAACATCAAAATTAAGACATTTCACAGACACCTGAAAAAAAAAATACTGTAATTGTTAATAGAAGCCAAGTGGGCAATTGGAAACATTTCTTTCTGGCGAGAGTATAAGAAGTGTCCATTATAAATCTTGTTTTCACGGTATTTGGCTGAGTTATTTAAAAAAAATTTTAAAAACATTAAACTGAAATTAGTTGTTTCTAACTATAAATCGAATAGCATGCTAATTAAAGTGTCCATTAGAAACATATGACAAGCTGTTAGGAGCACACTGCATATTATGTAAGTACCAAATATATCAAAGCAATCATCAAGTTGTAGGCTTTCACATAAACTATTATACCAATTCCAAAAGGAGTTATTATGGTACCACATCAACGATCAGAGGATTACATTACTACTGTACTTAGTCTTGCTCGTGTTTGTACCTACAAACAGGTGTCTTAAGATGTCTAGAAGTAAAGCCCAAAGTAAACTTCAAGCAATATCATCTGACAAGAAGTTAAATCAACTCCAAATAAATTACTGTACTCCACCAAATCATCATTAGAAAATACACAGCAACCTCAGATAATCTAATATGAAGTCAACAGTGTGAGGGAAAATTTTTTTTCTGTCTATATAATGCATGAAAAACTAAATTCACCTTTAAACTATTTTATAAAACAGCCATAATTCATGCAGTTACTTGCTAATGTCACAGCTTCATTACAGAGTTAATATTACATGATTATGAAGTCAAAGCACTTAGAAATGACTAAGTGAGAAGCATGTACTAAACTCTAAATTGCAGCTATTTTTGTTGTGAAGTTAAACAGCTAATTTTATGGTAACAATATAGGTGTGCTTTATAAAGCAGGTGTGTTTAATCTTTTGCACTTGTGGTATGCAAATTACAGTAATCTTCAGTAATACAGTAAGCAAAAATTCCTTCATCATAGGAATAGATTCAAAATATGAGAAAGAAAGAAAAGAAGGAAGGAGAAGAAAAGAAACATTCAAAGTTAGGTTCACATATAGTGAGTAGTTTCAGTCCTGATTTATCAAAAAAAAAAAAAAAATTCTGAAGAAACAAGCATCCTTCCTGTCTTCTGTTAGGCTGACCTGGCACTACAAATAATGATGTACATAAGCAGCATAGAAAAGATTGATGATGCTTCAGAAAAGGCTAGCCTAAACAGGCAACACAAAACATTTTTTTTTTTTGCTAAGAACACCAATTCACCAAAGTTCTAAATAAGACAAACCTAAATAAAGAGACCCATCAAAAGCTGGAGAGTTCTCAGAGATAATCAAAGGTACAGCACTAGATTACAGACAACACTACCTACAAAACATTTTCAAGGCTTTAAGCCACTTCAGTGGAAAACACTGGAGTTTTCTCAAAGGTAATTACACCAGCAGCAATCAGACCACAGCAGACAGATAAATCTGTTCTAGTATTCTCCTGGCCCCAGCAGGAAGCCAAATGTAAGACTTAAAAAACAAAAACACATCACATCAACATACACAAACACCTGGAATGAGCTTTTCACTGCCAGTGGGACTTAAATATGGCCTAACCCCAAAGCCTTTAACTCAGTATCCTTGAAGGAGAACAGCAGGTGAGGGCGCGCCATGGAGGAAAAGGTATCTCTCTTGCCTTATCTGCATAGACACCTGGAAGTTGGGAATTCAAGACTTGGGGTTTGGGGAAAACGAAGTATAGCAACCTGAAAGTTGGGGAAACTTTCCTCCATAGCCAAAAGGGCAATCTGGTGAAACAAACATGGGAAGTTGTTCAACTCTCTGGGGCTCAGTTCCGAGAACAGGCCATTAATCAGCTGAAATCCAAGAAAAAAACAAACCAAACTCTTTTTCCCTTTAAGCATCTCAGCTGCAGCAGCAGCAGCAGCAGCAGCAGGAGGCATCCCTGAAGACGCTCACAGTGCTTCTCGGAACAAATAGCTGGGGAAAACTATGTGTGGTTTACACTTGAGCTCTTACCTCCTGGATAGGTGTTCCACAAGGCTGATTCCCGTCTCCATCTCCCTCAGGTAGACCAGTCCAACGTGTCGCCATTATTTCATTTCAAATTACAAAGGAGGGATAAATCCTCTGAAGTCCACATTGGAGGAAAAACCCACAGGCACACACCCACAGCGATGCAATTCCAATCAAGCCCCAGTGAGGGGAGAGAGAACGAAAGACAACGGGGGCTGTTATATTTCAAAAATAAACAAAAAACACCTTCTTCAAAACGCCAAGATAATCACTTTGGACTTCAAACGAATTAGGGATCTTCTTCCATTTCTGATGGTTGGAAAATAGCTAAAAAGAAAAAAGAATAAAAAAATGAAGAACGAAGAGAGTAACAAAGATGTGTCTAGGCTTGGGGTAAGGTTCTCTCTACCCCTTCAGCTGCCCATCCCTGAGACAACTGCAGAACCTGGTCATCTTCCTCCTCCTCCTCTTTCTCCCATCCACAGAGTCCAGGGGGATCGGAATGTGAAGAGCAAGAGGACCCCCACCAAAAGAAATCCTTTCCTGGAACAAGTTAACCAGAATAAACTCTCCATAGCCAAGGTAGCCCTTTCTCCTAATTAGGGACAAGGCGGCTCTTTTCACCCTTTGAATGGTGCATTAGTCCAGCCCAAGATTTCGTCTGAATATATTCCTCTCCCCCACCCCATAACATCGTACAAATCAGGTAAAGCTCCTGTAACCAGTAAAGTGGGAGGGGGGGATACTCCAGTTTCAGCCCAACACCCGCGGTTCTGGAGACTGGCACTGACAATTTAGGGTGTGGGTTTTGTTTTTTTTTCCTAAGGCATTTCAACAACAAAGTTCTGGGGGCAGAATATAGAATCTTCTGCATTCCTCCGAGACCACGGTTAAGTGAATTCCTCACCAAGTATCTGAAATAGGATAATGTTTTTCAAACACACCCACCCCCATTCCTCCAACCCCCCCCCCACATCCTACCCTCAAACTATATGAAAACAAGCTTCCGATTAGGATGACCGTTTGATGGGCTCCAAGTCGAACGGTGCCCCCTCCTCCCTTGGATAATTAAGGTGAACACAATTCGGGGCACCCTTTAAAACTCTAGACACCCCCCATCTCCTCCCTCCCTGTAAGCCCCTTTCCCACTGCAGCTTCTCTCTTCTGCGGAGGTGGCTGTTTTCTTTGGCTGGCAGGGAGCAGGGATGGGTGGGGAAGGAATGGAGAGAGCAGAACGGAGGGGAACGACGCTGGTGGGGAACCCCAGGGCCCGGGGGCCTTAACCTTTGGGGGGTGTCATCAACCTCCCTCGGTAGTCCGGTGAAGCCCTTGGACCCCTTCTGGGAATCATGTTATTAGAGACAGAAAATAGGGATTGTAGAGGAAACCGATCATATGGAAACAGAACGATCAAGACGGTACAAAAAAATGTTAAGTTCAACGACCCCAGGCTAAGCACCCCAGTACGAGGGTGGGTCCGGCACAGTGGCCGCAGGGGGTGGTTTACTACTTAAGTTAACGGGCGTCCCCTGCCCATTCTAGCCCTGCCGAGACACACACACACAGAGACACAGAGACACAGACACACAGACACACACACACACACACACACACCTTTAAATGGGGGGGGGGGAGTGAAAAACCTCCCCGACCTACCCCTGCTTCCTCCGCCCCTTCCCCGGGGAAATGGAGGCCCCGAGATGTGGGTCCGGGGAAGCGGGAGGGCGCAGCGCTAGGCCGCGGCTTCGGTTAATATTAATGAGGCGGCCGGCAGGGGCCGGGCCGGGCCGGACACCTCGGCGGTCGCGGCTGCCGCCGCGGCCGGCGGCCTTTGTGCCACTTCCTCCCCGGCCTCGGCGCGCGTGCACACACGCACATGCACACTCACGGCTCCGCTCCAACTTCTCCCGGGAGCGCCTTCCTGTGCCCCCCCACGCCCCTCGCCCACCTCCCAACCCACAGCCCCACGCACCGGGCGCCGGCTCGTGCCGCCTTCTCGATGCAGAGGAGCCGCCCCCGACCCCTCCCGGGCACTGCCACGACCTGCCCCGGCCGGGCCTTGTGGGGGGCGGGGCGGCCGCTGCCGCCGGGCTCCGGGGTCCCTGGG